GGTAACAGAGTGAGATTTTGTCTCAAAAAAAAGGAAAAAAAAGATAGAAGTCAGAACACAGGCCTGAACACTATTAGAGGAAAATTGAGACGGAATCAAAAGAGGGTCCCAGGTATAGTGAAAGAGAGGGTTGGGGGGAGCGTAGCCAGCCCAGCCCAGAGAGGTCACAATGGAAGAGAAACGCTGCAGTTGCTCAGCCATGAGCTGTGAGGACAGTAACTCCCATTTGATTTGTTCTGTGGAGCTTTGCCAACCATTTGGTTTCTATTAATCCCCTTTTTCCTGACAATGATCCTATCAAGGGGTCTGTGCTATGTTACAGCATCACAAGGACACTGAGTAATTCGTCCAAGACCCTCTCAACTGGTGTCAAGGCCAAGGCACAAGGCGGAGCCCTCTGATTCCTGAGAGCCAGCTCTTCCTATTATACCACAGGACCTGAACCTCTGAGCCAGCAGAGTTGCTGAGGGTCTGGGCCCTTGATGGGACACTTGCACATCATGCGCCACATCCTCCCAGCCAGCCTGCCTTCCTGCTCCTGTCACTGCGGTGGGGACACTCCAGGATCACCTCACCCGGTATCTGCACTGAGGATCTCTTGTTTCCTGTCCAAGTGCCCACTGCTCAGCTTCCCTTGCACAGCCTAGAAGAACTGGGGAGTGAATCACCTGACTGGTGACCCTTAACCAACAAGAGAGGGCAGCAGGTGAACGGACGCTCCCCAGTTCTAGCCCTCCAGTGGGAAGTTCTGAGGTGCCTCTGCCTACAGGATCAAGCCCCCTCGCCTTCAGCAGTGACCAGCTCTAGTCATAAACCTTCACATTTACCGGCTTTTCCCCCTCTGCTTTATCTTCCCATGCCCCAACTTTGTTACCCCGGAATCACCTCCTAAATTAAGCCACCCCCCCCCACACACACACACATAGCCCTTATCTCAGGCTCTGCCTCCAGATCTCAAATAGGGTTCTCCTGGTGCCCAGCACCAGGAGACTAATGCTTTCTCTCCTCCCACCTCTCCTTCCCTCAGGACACCTTCTGTTCTGCTCTGATCTATTGTTTGCTGGATTCAGGAGCCACCACATTCCCTGGGGGGGCCAAACCACTCTTGTTTATCAAATAACAATTAATTCTCAGCAATCATCACTTGTCTTGAACCATACAAACAAAAAGGTGCCTTCAGCAAAAAGGAATCCCACCCAGGCAAATCTTGGGATAGAGTGTGTGTGTGGGGGGGGAATCAGGACACCCTCCAAGCTTCTACCCAAGCCCATACTTCTGTCTTCCTGTAGGACGTGCATCAGAGGCAAGTCACCCATGCAGCTATTCAGGGTCCTGTGTTGCATGGTGAATGCACATATGTGTGCATTAAAGATAGATTTACTGCACATTTGATTACAAAAGCAGAACAGGCCAGTTGCCCACATTACAACCATACAAAATATATAGCTTGGGAACTAAAAGCACTTCCCCTATAATACCACCCTTTTCACTTGAGAGTGGCTATTTTTAATTGCCCTCAGACTGGGACATTTTCAGCATCAGGAAACAAGGCCAGTTAAGTCCCCTCAGGGTCAGCCAGTGCCCTTATAAAATACCATTTCTTTTTAGGGAGATCATCCATTCATTCAGTGACCACATTTTGAGTGACTACTAGGTGCCAGGTACTGAGGAAGCTGCTGAGGAGGAGACAGATGAGACAAATGCCCTTGTGGCACCTTCCCTCATCTCCTTTGTGGGCAGGACTTTGAGCAGCTCTCCTGCTCTGGAATATTCACCCAGATGCTCCTGGCTCCTAGGGAGGCCCAGTGAAGGGCGGCCACTGTCCCGCTGTTCTTCCTATATCCACAGGGAAGGGCCACACTCATAACTCAGAGTGCAGAGCAGGGATGGGAACATGCTGTGGGCTGTCCTACTGTTGGGCCTTTGTGGGACATTCCAGCCACCTGGAAGGTGCCCTTTTCAAGCCCAGTCAGATCCTTCTAGTCCTGAAAGGCCCTGTCTCAGGTGACCTCAGCCAGTAGTTGCCTCTGACTGTAACCTGTATACATCTGAAGGTCTGCCTCCTTGGGCCACATGGTGCCAGGCAGAGCTGGCAGCATCGTGAAGGCATGGGCTGATGGCTTCTCTGGTTTCCCTGATGGTTTGCCTGGCTCTCAGCATACACCTGCTGAACAGGTGCCCACAGCAGAGAGTAGGATTGTGGAGCGGTGGGGAGGGGTACAGTGAGGCTGGTGGGCAGGGACAAGAGAGGGGGGTTTTTACCAGGGCATCTCTGCGTGGAACCCTTACCTTTCACAGGGTGATGAAGAGAGGAGGCTTAGGTGGGGGTGGTGGCAGAAGGCTCAGCAAGAAACCCTTGGGCCCAGGAGCAGAGCCTTGCAGAGTCGGTGCCCCATTGACAGCTACCAGGCTAGCACGTGCCAGACGAGGGAGACGGGGACACACAGGATGCAACTGGTGTTCTTGTGCCAGGGCACACTTGAGCACACTAATTATCATCGTTTTTTCTTTTATTAACACATCTCCTTGTTAAACATAATAATCACCCCCTTCTTAACATCATGTGACAATTCAAAATAAAATTTTAGGCCACAATTAAAACTTATCTTAATGTTTTAAATTTTTTTTAAAGTGCTGCTTATTCAAACTGCCCTCTCCTATATCTGATGTTAGTCCCCTGCTTTTGGAATCGAAGCTCAGAGAAATTTGGGCTGCCATTGGCAGCTTTTTATACTTAGTGAGAAACTGATAGAAACAGCAGTGACAGGATCAATTCTCTGATGGATCCACTCTCTTGAGAGATGTGAATGGATGCCTGAGGTTCATGTCCCACGATAACGCTCTGGAACATGAGAAGGCAGCTCCATCCAGGGCCTGGATGGTGAAGCTTCTCTCCATTTCTTCAGTTCTTCCTGGGAACCAGACCCCTAATATTGCTGGCTGTCCCCAGCACCTCCATCCCCTCAACACATGCTTCTGTTCCAAAACAACCTATCTCCTCTTTCTTTATCTAAATTCCTAAAGCCTGTAATTGATCTTAGCAAGATGTTCTGTCAAATTCAAGAAAAATAATTTATACTACAGTGTAAGATACTGATAGACTTAACCCTTCAGAGGAGCATTTGTGTTTTTAAGGGAGAGTTTGTGAATTCAAACACACCTCAAACAGGTAGAGCGTGCACGGGAAGTCTCTTTGAAGCAGGGTTTCTTCCAGTTCCACTCATGCTTGCCGCCCACCGGCCACTCCTACCCGTGTTCGTCAAGACCAGGCCCCCTCTGCGGAAAGCTCAGGCCTGACGCCCAGGCGGTTGGGTTCCCCAGGTGGGCGGGGACACTTAGGCCCGGCGGTGGAGCGGTCCCCAAACCTCAGCCCCGGCCTCTCGGGGCCGGAAGGAAGCCGCGGCATAGCAGGCAGCGGCGGGGTGCCCCCGAGCGCGCCTCACCTGCGGGAGGGCACGCTGCGGGCTTTCATCCTTGCAGACGGGGCCTGCCTGGCGAAAGGCGTGGATTTGCCCCATCCTTCCTGTCCGCCGCCCACCCCGGCGCTTCCACGCAGCCGTCGCCGTCCGCCTGCCGCTCAGTGCTGGAACGTGGGGCCACTGGGGTCCCCTGATACTCTCGTCCGCGCCGGCCAGGGGCAGGAACCCGGCGTCTCCTCCGCCGCGCTACTCCTGGACGCGCTCGCCGAGAGGGCGGCGACTGGGGCGAGG